AATATAATATATATATATATATATATATATATATATATATATATATTTTGATAGATTTTAATTTTTGATTCAATTTTAACAATTAAAAAATTGGGAAGAAAAAGATGAAATTTAATCTAAAAACAATATATCAGGATGATTTTGAAGAATAAAGTGTAATCGTTTAGAGGAAGCTTTCAATTGTTATCAAATATAACATCAATTCTGAGAAAACAAGTGAAAAAGTTTTTCTACGAATTTCCAAGAATTTACAAATACCGCGTCTCATGTTTTGATGAAAAATACTAAAAGTCTATTTTTACGGAGCAAGAACTTTCTTATGTTTCCACGTCGAATTTAATTCTTTCCTTTTCCAATTAATTTATCAAAGATTAAAAATTAATATTTATCCTTGAAAGTGAGATAAATCGATCGATGTTCAATGCTATTTTACAAAGATTTAGAACACTGTGCACTACGTCAAAACAATCTCGAAACACCATGAGATTAAGTGAAATCTTCCTCGGATCATATAAATTTCGTGAAACTCCGGTTTCGTTGTCGGATTACAAGCGGGACTAAACGTACGCACACGTGTCGACACGATCTCCCTAACACTGGAAACGACATCGCATTTCGAATCAACCGAATACACTGCGAATTAAATCGAATTAAAACTGATATAAATTGAAAAGCGAAAATTCAAATGAAATTTCTCATTCAAAATTTTTGCTCGAACAAAATCTTGAAAAATGAAAATGTGAAATAGGAATAGGAACGAAATTAAAATTTCCAATCTGTAGCTAGCCATATTCTGGATATTTTTTCGAAGTAGTAGCGATATCTTTCAAAAGAATCGATATGTGAAAAAATTAAACGTGAATTTCATTCGAAAATACTTTTATCAAGAAGGATAAAAAACAGGAAAATATGAAAGAACTTTCATCTTTGATCTGAAATTGATGCAAAAATCGAATTCTAATTCTTAAATAATATTCTCTTAAAATATAAATGTATTTGAGATATAAATTACACGAATGTTTGATTCCAAGGTGCAAATTCGATAAAAAATGAAATCTATTCTTCATTAACGTGTATAATTACTTTAATTTCCATATTATCAAACGTAAAATATTCTAAAATTTTTAAATAAATATGGAACAATGTTTAATTAAAAAAATTCAAGTTTCGTTCGGTCCAATTTCGATCTAATTTCACAAACGAAAACGAAAAAAAAAAAAGGAAACACCGCACAAAAAAACATGTTAATTAAATTTCCATGAGAAAAGCTTCGATAATAATTTCTACAATAAGATGATGACGTTCACTCGACAATTTCCTTCTTTCTTTCCGTTCCACGAAAAGAATGAAGATACAAAAAAATAAATAAATAAAAAAGAAAAAAATAGAGAGAAACAAAAAGAATGACACAGAAAGGACACATAAAAGATGGAGTAAAAAAAAAGGAGAGAATAAAAGGGAGCAAGAAAAATGGAAAGAAATAGAAAATGGGGTGAATCACGCGTGTTCGCAGTATTCGATGCAACCTCCCCTCCCCCTCTCCCCTTTTAATCGCGAGCCAGTGTCACCGGATAAAGCAACGTGTAATTTGTCGCAATTGGTATTGTTCACTGTTTCCCGCTTTTCCGCTTCCGTTCTCCATCCCTCCTCCCCCCCCCCTATCGCACTCTTACCCCTCTATTTTTCCCCCTCGGTTATCCCATTCTGCTTTTTTCATCCCCTATTTTGCTTTCCCGAATCGAGTGAAGCGAATCGAGTATGTGTGCGTGCGTGTACGTGTGTGTGTGTGTGTGTGTGTGTGTGTCCCATTTTTGCGGCGACCGGTAAAGTTTATAATCGTTCTCGATTAGCCGAGCGCAGCAACATCGTCTCCGCGGAATCGTCGTTCGAATCGAATCCACGAGGACACGGTTTACGCTATCAACGATCGTAAGATCGGCGAAGAGGACGATAAGAGGGTAGGGAAGAAAGAGGAATCGAATTCCTCGATTCCATTTAAGGAAAAGAGTGGGATAATGAGACAAGTTCGAACGATCGGAGAATACTTATGAAAGCGTCTGACGTTTTCTTCGAGGAAGAAAAGTTGTTTGAAAATGGCTTAATTAAAAAGAGTTTTTTTTCCCCGTTTCTCGGTCGGAGAATATTAATTATACTTTTTGTTATACTCGTACGTTTTAAACCGATTCGACTTACACGATATATATACGGGTATCCTCGAGTCGGTTCACTGTCGTATCTATAAACACTGGGATCGTTATAATGTTCCGCACACTCTTCCCCGTAAATCACAAAAACACCTACTTTCGTTCCTCACTGATACATCCCATCGAGTTTTCACGGCTCGGTCGAAAATCCAGCGGATAAAGTAAACGCGGTAAGACTTGCTCACGAGGCCTTTTATCGTCGCTCGTGCACGATGCATACGACAACTCGTCACATGTCACCCGAAATCGAGACTTCCTCCCCCCCTCGGGAAACTACCTCGTGTCTCTGCCCGGGAACACTGACTTCACGACACTTTGAATAAATATTTTTCTTCTAATCGTGGATCTACGATTACAGATGCTCACTGCATAATACGATCTTTTTTTCGATCTCAAGTTACGAAACTTATCGAGGATTTTAAAAAAAAAAAAGTACGACGAATAATAACGCGACGAATGGTAATAGACGCGGGCGAAAACACGGATTAAAAGAAAGCGGCGGAACCGATTACACGAAGAACGGGCACGGAAATCTCGACACGATCTAATTGCGAGCAAGTTTTTCCGCGATACGGCTCGCTCGCCGGCTACTCGTTAGGACTTCGCCTACGGACTGCCGGGCGCCGCGGCAAAAGCTACGGCGCAACACGCCGACGCATCAACCCCCTTGGAACCCCTTGGCCCCTGTGTCGCACCGATACCAACCAATACCAACCTACGGCCACGACGTTCTAACGCGAGCGGTCGAGTTATCGCCCCCCCCCCACCCCCGAGCGGTACGTGCACCTGTAGTCGGATAGTGGTACCTGATCGAGGTTGATGTTCGACGGAATGACGATACATCAATCGTGTTATATCGCGAGATTCGAACTTTCATGAGGTGTTACGTGTCTTGTTATAATCGGAGGTGGATTATTAGTGATTATTGTACGATTGTATATATACTTTGATAGGGGGAATTGTTTGATTGTGCATGCGCGCAATAAGAGGAATTAGAAAGGGAGTGATTGATTGGATTGGGAGGAAGTTGAATGTTTGAATAAGAATTTTAACGCTGT